CTCGTATTCCATAATTTAGTTTTACTTAAAGCATTCTCGTTCAACTATTTTTTGCCGGCTTTACTCAAAGTTCTTCAAATTCTATTTTTAGTCACGCTCAGCATACCCTCTGCGTATGCAGTGCAGCGCAACGAGAGCAGCACGCAAGCTGTCGTCAAGCGCCTGTTTAGCACATACACACACGCGAAAAGCTTTAAGCTTAGCCAGTTCAGCAACCAAAGCGCTGACACAATATCTTAACCGCAGCCGTCAGTATAGCCGTCCCCCTCTAACGCTCGTCGCTTGCTGTGCATGATTGCAATCGGGCATATTGTAAATTGTGATAGCTTGTTATGCATATAAAAGAAACAGCAACAAAAACCCAGAAATAAAAAAGAAAAGAAAATCAAAAAGCGTTTCATGAGCAAACACTATTTAGGTCGACGCTGCGCTGCCGCTTGCTGAACGCCTGCTAACACATCTAGGGCAAGTTCCTAGAATGTTCATTCCAATAAGCCCACCATGGCCATTGCAACATCGCGAAAATGTTAAAATTGCTGGCAGGCGAAATTCGTAGAATTCACCCGAACTCAATAGGCGCCCAGCGTCGCATGGAGCACTACTGCGACCGCCGATGTACCTGACGGGTTGGAAGAGGGTGGGCCCCTCAACATGTTTGTGGCGTAGTCAAAATCGCGTCATGCGCGTCGCTATTTCAGCAGGCGGCCAGATACCAACCAGCAGACGCCAGCCACCGCACAAACATCGCCTCAATGCCGGCGCCGCTGCTACTGCGGCTGCCGCGCTACTGCTGACTGTCAGCGCGAAGCCATCCCATTGCCGGGCACGGGCCAGGATGCCCAATCACATATGGCCGCGCAACGCAACGGACTCCACATACGGCCAATGCCGATGCGTTTACCAATAGCGGCCTCCACCAGCTCCACACACATTGCGCTCGCTTTTAACACTTTCGTTTTCTTGTTCCAACCAAACGCTGGCCGCTAAATAGGCGCCCAGCGTCCAACAGCAGCGCGTTGCCAAGCAACAGTGCGCAACAGCGAGACAGCTCTACACATTTCACGTGCAGACAGAGATAGCGAAAGAGAGAGCGCCACACAGCTGAGTCAAGTCAGTCAGCGTCAGCAGAGAGAGGCCAGTTGTCTCGCTCGCTGTGCTATATCGCGCCTTGTCTGACGCGCGCTCTCATATGTTAGCTAACATCGTTTGTATATCGCTTTTAGTTTGCATAGCTTGTATGCGTACATATATATATATTATGCATATACATACATATATTCATGCATGCGTATATTCGCTCACGCTCATGTAATTATCATGCGATGGCAATGTCCTTGTATAAAAAACAGTTTCTGTGCACAGGCGCACAGTGTGAGACGACAGCAGCAGCCCCAACATAAGCAGAGCTGAAAACGATATTTTCTTGCTGTTGTTTTTCTTACACGAATGCCGCTCGCTGCGCTGCCAACGCTGACTGAGTCACGCTCTCGCTCGCTCGCTTTCTCTCTCGCTCATGCTCACTTCTGCGCTTGTAAGCGTTTAGCTTTATTTTTATTTTAGCTGCAAAACCGCTGACTGTGCTCACTCACTCAGTCAGCATGCAGCAAAGTCATGTCTGTGTGTGTGTGTGTGTGGGTATGTATTTATATTTATATGTATATGTCTGCTTGTAGCTTTGCTTCTTGCTGGGGGAGTTTGGTAAAAGTTTGTGCACTTCAGCGGCTTGCTGAACGCCTGTTCGAAAATCGACTCACTGAAGGCCCCTGAAATCGTACAGCATACGCGATGTGTGGCATCCGGTCGCCCGAACGACTTCGTTGCCCAGCCGGTCTGCATTAGCCGGGCACCATCATCATTAACGTGACTCGACTTGAGTTGAACTTGAACGTTGTTAGCCCCGTCGAGTGCCTTGAAATGCATATGTATGGATGAATGTACGCATGTAGGTTGTACCATGCCCACTCAGTTTTGGCTTTTAATTACTCTTACTAGCAGCGCAGATAGAGCAACCCCCGCCGTACCCTCCCCGCCCCATTCACTAGTTGGCCCGCAGGCTTTAGCCGGGGCAAGCCAATTAGTGAAAAATATTGGCCACCCTGTTCATTAGCTGCACACATTTCGACCTACGCTTTTTGCAGCGCATCTTCTTCTAACCTATTACGCCGGCATCTTCTTAATTAAAAAGCTGACAATGTTTGCCCCCAGACGCGGTGGCGCATTTTTAATTGCTTAATTGGAATTGCGTAGACGAGCGACGATGGGCTCGGCGCGTCCGTTGGCCCTGTATGGCACGGCACGGCACGGCTCGGCCGAGCCCGGCCCGGTTCGGCAAGTGCATGTATCCTTGGGCGCCCAGCCATTGGTGGGCGCATGGTCCAGGCGACGCCCTCAACAGTTGCTCGCATGCTGTCCCGCTCGCACGGCCAATTAGGCGACCCGCCTCTCAATTCAGCAACACGGCCCAACGCTCGCAAGCTGCTATCAGCCGGCATCCCGGGGCTGGTGTCAAGGTCATCCGCGGAGCAGACACCACGCCTAGATACGCCTCAAACTCAGCGCGCACAGCAGGCGCCCAGCAAACAGCAGACAGCAGTTACCCAGCATCAGGATTACACTTTGTGTGTGTGTGTGTGTGAGCATATTCCGGATATTAAGCGATGCTGAGCTGGAAGCTGTGAGCACGTTGCCGTGCCCGTGTCCTTGGCTCGCAATTCAACGCAAGTTTACGGTAGCTTAAAAGCACAATCAAGCCACAAGGAAGAGACGAGCTAGCAGAAGCTTTTCAAATTGCTGAGAGAGCAGCAAATATTTCAGAATTCTAGAATGCTGAATGTATGAATATGTGAATGTATGTATGTATATGTATATGAATGAATACGTGAACGTGTGAATGTATCAATAAATGTATTAGTGTATGAAACACATGTATGTAGGAAAGTACGAATGAATGAATGAAGAAGGTAGATGAATGAATGAATGAATGAATCCAGGCATGAATGTATGAATACAAGATTAAGTAATGCATACATGTATATGAATAAATGTGTGAGCGTCTGAATGTATGAATATTTAAATATATGAATGCATGTCTGAATATATATGAATGCCGATGAATATACGCCTGAATGGATGAGTGTATTTATGATGAATGTATAAGTGAAATTGATAAATTTGGAAATATGAATGGATAAATGAATGAATGTGAGTGTATGAATATATGTCTGTACGTACGAAAATGTATGTATGTATGAATCAAGTGATGAATCAAGATGATGTGCACGAATAGATTAATTGCCGAATAATATTATTCCACCTCTGAAAAGGTAGTGCGACCACCTGATGAGCTTTTGATGCCGAAGATGATGAAAAAATTGCCGTTGCAACTGAATGCATTCGCTGTGGCTGTTCAACTAGTATGTGAATATGGGAAGAGAGCTTTGAATAAAGCACAATGAGCTTGACGACATGAAAAACGAGCAACTGAGTGTATAGATGAATAAATGTGAGCAAAGAAAATCTCAGTTCAGCAAGAGACCCATAGTAGGAAATCATCACTTGATGAAGACGACTGCCTAACGACTGTCTAAAGGGGCAGTTCAACATGGACTCTGCACATCGACATCAACAAGTGGAACTGCTCAAGCACCAGCTGAACAAAAGTCAAGGCATAAACCGACGTAGAGAGTCAGAGTTGCAGTCAAATATGAATTTATAGCGCAGATATGAACCATGTGTTATGCTAAATCTAAATGGGTTGTAGGAATTGTCATACAGCAGACCATGATCTAGTTGGACTCCGAGTAGACTGAGCAAGACTTGAAATAAAATATTAGAGTATCGTAATAATAATAGGCGGTATAAGGTAAAGTAATATAATAATGTAGTGTTCGCATGTGAAAAAGTACATATACAGTAGAATCCGCTTATTAATTATTTGACGATAAGTCTACTCCCCAAACTTATATGAGCTTACTTATACTTATACAGTTATACCGTCCTCTGGGTATTACGACGGTCCCTTGAGCTTCGTTTTAACCGGGTTCTACTGTATATACATATATATTTTAGTATACTCTTGTTAAAACAGACAAAATAAAGACCAAACTAATTTTTTTAAATTGTCTTTGTTTCCTTATTTTATTTATTTATTTTTTTTTTAATTCAGTTAAGTATATTGAAATACATTTGGGAGTTCATTGACTTCGAATCTCTAAAAAATATGATATATAAAATAAAATAGGATAATTTAAAATTTAACCCCCAGCCAACGCGGTCTAAATCCCTCCGTAGTTTGTAGGACAACCTCTTTGTCTCAGCTGACTTTTAAACATCTGGTTTATAAAAAGCTAGTAATCCATATTTCATTCATATTCATATTCACATTCCCAAAACAATTTTATATTTTGTTATCAATAACATTTCCTATATTAAGCATATACATTTTTGATTAACCATAAACGTATATCTTAGCAATATTTTTTCATTATACGAATAATATTGTATATATATGTATATGTAGTCTCTACTATTACTTGATCCAAAGATATCAGCTTGACGATGTGCCCCTCCACACGTTTCTGTCTGCTTGTAAAATATTGGTAAAAACTTTTGGCTAGAATAAAATTGCAATAAAAGAAATTATATTTGTTTCTTGCCATAACTTTTATTTACCGCATCCATAAAATGCATAAAATGTTGATGTCAGTGTGAACGAGTATGAATGATAAATGTTTCTTGTTTCTCTCCTCGATCCTCGTTGACTCGTCCCCTTGTAGGCATACTCGAACTTGGCATGTAGTACTTGTATATCATGTATATTTATATGTATATAATATTTCAAATATTTGTTGGTTAATATATATACTTTTGTGTTGCTCATATATATATAA